TTTGGGGGGGGATGGGTGGGTGGGTGAAGGAGGGATGGGATTTTAATTGATGTATTGCTTTGATGTTTTGTATTGTTGTACGCCGCCCCGATTGCTTGGCAGAGGGGCGGGATATAAATACAAATTATTATTATTATTATTAAATATTAAAGTCCATGCCATTGTATTTCCAATTTTAGTTTATTTATTATTTATTATTTATTTATTTCATTTGTATACCACCTTTCTCTTTGATTAATGATTGTGAAAGATGGACAGTGAAGAAAGTGGATAGGAAAGAAGAGTTCTATGGATACCATAAATTATTTAAAAAGAAAAATAAATGGGCTGTAAGAGCAAATTTGAACTCTCACTAGAAGCCAAGATGACTAAACTGAGACACATGTATATCTCTATAGCCATTTGATCAGTGTTGCTTGTGAAGAAGTCACTTCCCATACCTCTCCTGTTCCTGGGGGTTTCTTCCTGGGGGTAATAAAGTTTTATGGTTCTTTGTTTGATAGCCACACTTTCCTCTCTGCTAGAAACCAGACTTTGCTCCTAAAAATGTTTTTCTTCTTACTTGTACACATGGAGGTCAGCTATCTATTATTGTACACATGGAGGTCAGCTATCTATTATTATTATTATTATTATTATTATTATTATTATTATTATTATTATTAAATATTTATACCCCGCTCTTCAGCCAAAAGGCTATCAGAGCAGCTTACAAATGGTTAATTAGACATTTCCCTGCCCTCAGGCTTACAATCTAAAAAGACAAGACAAGACACAAAAGGAGAAGGGAATGGTTATGGGGAAGGGGAATAAGGCCAGCAGATCTTCTCTCCCTCTAAAGCAGGGGTAGGCAACCTTTTTGAGCCGGGGCCAGGTTGCTGTCCCTCAGACAATTGGGGGGCCGAAGCACCAATAAATAAATAAATAAATAAATAAATATTAAAAGATATTAAAAATATGAATGCACACTCTCTCAGCCCCAGAAAAGCCATGGCAAAACCCCTGTGGAGATTTTGCCAAGAAAACCCCAAGAACAAGTAATAAAACAATAATCATTATCATCATGGAAACGACTGGAAGGCAAGCCCACAAACATGCAGGGATGCATGCACACTGTTTCAGCCCCAGAAAAGCCATGGGAAGACCCCTGTAGAGATTTTGCCAAGAAAACCCCAAGAACAAGTAATAACAACAATAATCAATATCATCATGGCGGGCGTCGGCAGCAGTGGGGGGCGTCGGCGGCAGTGGCAGCAGGACTGCCCTGGGGCTAGTCCAAAGGCCTCAGGGGGCCGCATCCGGGCCTTAGGTTGCCTACCCCTGCTCTAAAGCCTGGACCAAGGCAGATGGACTGGAGGGATGGCCCTTCTTCTTACTGTGACGAGGCCTGATAGAGCTGGCCTGCTTTCTCTCCCTCCAGATGATGATGGATGGAGGGATAAGGGATAATAATTCACGTTTTGAGAGGGCGTACATCCTATTCACTCATAAAATTAAAAATTAATTTTTCAAATGAAATTTTCTTTAAAAACATCACCTCTTTACAAATTTTAACTTTAACCACATGAAACTATGTAAATGTAAATACATTTAGGCTATGTGTATGATATCATAAATTAAAGGTATAATTTTTAATTTTGCTAGGGACTTCTGTAGCAAAATGACTGAGTAGTTATTTTGTAGAACCTGGATGTAGCAATAAAGTAAGTTTCTTTTTACCTACCAATGTATCCTGCTTATTTACC